TCATTTGTAATATTTCATAATCACAAAAAATTTGAATCGTAGAAGTTGAATTTTTAGAGTACAATTTTTTTTTCTTAAATTTCAATAATAAATTTTATTTTGTTCAGATCATTTGAAACTCATCAAGTCCTCCCAACAAATTGGTATCAAATATTATTTTTACAGAATTTATAAAGTATTTCAGAATAATGTGCAATACACGTTTAATTTTAACTAGTTTGTATAAAAATGGACAAAGAAAATCTTTTATACTCGAGATAAATTGTGCCCCTATTTGATGGCAATTATTTTGAGAAAATGGAGTTTTGAATAGTGATTTTTTGGAGAATGTGTGATTAAGAAGTAGGGAAAAAAAATTCATTTGCATGCAAAATATTTTATTGTGTGAATGTGTTGCAGAAAATGAGTATAAGAATTAAAAAATTTTAAAATTATGATTGTGAAACAGGGGCTATATTCAGTTGCCAACAAAATCCCAACCAGCTCAAATTACAGTACTTTGTTTATAATCCAAAAACCAATTACAGTTAATGCGAGATCGACTACATGCTGGATATTCGACCAAGCACTAATATTATTAATAAATTTCAAGTGGTTACGAGAAAAAATTGAGATACGCAGATAAAAAAATCCACGAGAGCAACCAATGAAAGCAGTAAGCTACATGGGAGCATTTCAACTAAATATAAAAGATGCTGTTAGGCCTCTGTCAATAGAAACTTACCCCCAGAAGAGTAGAAATTAGAAGAATGATCCCTGTTATCCAGACAAGTGTGTTTCTAACCAGCGCCACTTTTGCAATTTTGATAATAGCGGTTGAGGCTTCAGTTTCCTCCAACCAACGTTCGCGACAATTTTAACATATTCTCGGATGCTGGGGCATGCAGTCCACCACAGACAATGACTCCAACTAGTTGGCCGCCTGCTCATATGATACAAAATATTCAATTCCAGTACAAGAATTAACAAGGAATATACGTTGGTAAGATTCATAAGTGAGAAATCTTCAGCAAACAGTGTGACATCAATAGTTGGCAATAACTAATCAAATAGAAGAAACAACTGCATATCTAAGAATACTACCAATGAAGATGTTTCTATACATTTTAAGTCAAGCACAACAAACATTCAAAAGCATAGATAGCAACAAGTACATGCTATGCTGATGCATAAACTAACTAATTCAGCTCTTAAGAACAGTCAGAATAGAAAAAGATAGAAGCTGAGCAGTTTAATTAATTCACAACGACATATCAGAAAAGGACACCATACCTTTGTATGCTGCCTGTAAGGAATCATATATTCTTGAAACAGAGCTAACAAATAATTCCAATCCATCTTGAGAAACTCCTTCTGTCCCATAATGGTCTTTTAGAACCTGTGACAATAAAATACATTGATGAAGTAAAGGATCGGACTCAAATAACATGTGTCTAGAAGACGTTCGTTTAAAAAATTCTAAAAGTCATCTCTGTCAACATTTCTTCAGTTATCCGTTACTTAAACTCAGAAGTAGTGACTCGCTTCGTTATTTTTAATCAACTTTTTCACTCTCATAAAAAGCATAAATTGCACCACTGCACCACAATTGAAGATGCACAATTGGCTCGTGAGGACTATTTCAAACATTCTTGATGTTCAGAAGCTCATTAATTTACTTATTATTTTCATTTCATCCTTAACAGTTGAAAAGAGACTAAATAAGTAGATTTACAAATTTGTAAAAGCAAAGGATTCATGGAATAGGTTCAAAAAATTTACGAATCTTTGATATAAATGTGCTGGGACTTTATCAGCTCACGGTGTAATAATTTATTCTGGAAAATATGAAGAAGACTTTCTTGTTTACTTGACTATTACATTGCTAACACACGCTCTTACTATTACACACATTAATATCCTTTCAAGGAAGAGTTGTTCTCTACAAAACACAAGTAGATTAAGCTCTTTCCCACTTGATGAGAACCACGTAGCAATAGTAGCTACACAACCCAACAACGATATTGAAATCCGACCCAAGAAAGTCCATGCAAGTAAGTTTATGGATTTTGACCCAAAAACGGTGAATTAAGCAACCAACACAATCGCCGACGATATGAAGACCTCTTAATTACACATTTCTAGAATCTAACCCGGATTTAAAGATCGACCCAGTAGATCATTGAACCAAGTTTCCAAGATAAAACAGTGTTACCTCAACCCCATGATTACAAGACATATGAATCTC